CAAATAGCATTCTGCTGTTCTAGAAACCTGTATTTCCATCTCGACAACTCTGTCTAACTCACCCTAACTTTTACAAATAGTTAACTTAGTTATGTAAGATAGCGAAGAAGATCGTAATGTTATTATCATAACATAAAAGATATAACTCTTATCCATGCTTATAAACACGTAAGACACTGTTAGCACTTATTTATAACGGCTTAGTATCTCTGGTGTAACTCCACACAACTTTCTTAACCATTTCTAAAACAACCAGGATTCCAAGTATAACCTACTTACCAAGTCCCCTGGGCCTCCAAGTACTACCTTAAGGGCATGAGGGTAATCATGTGCCAACTTTCTGGCTGCTACCATAACCCAAAGCCCAAAACCCGAAAGGCCCGAAGCCCTAAACCCTAAACCCAAACCCTGAATCCCAAACCCAAAACCCAAGGCCCTAAACCCTAAATCCAAAGCCCCAAATTTTAAGGCCCCAAACCCTAAAACCCCAAGGCCCCAAACCCCAAGGCCCTACCCTATAATTCGGAGTTTGGGAGTTTAGGGTTTAGGGTTCAGGGTTTAGGGATTTAGGGATTTAGGGTTCAGCAGCTCCGGATCACAGAATCTCCAGTCGAGCTTTCACTATGGAAAAAACCCACCCACCCAGGATTCCCATTTCATCAGGAAGCCATTATACTTTCATTGAACTTGAAGGCAAAATCCTAATCCCTACACCCTGAACCCCAACACCCTGGTCCTAAACCCTAAGCCACAAAAACCTAGGCCCTAAGCCGTAAAGCCTTAGCCTTTAATTCCTAAGCCCAAAGCATAGGCCCTAAACTAAGCCCCAAGCCTAAGCCCCAAACCCTAAACCCTAAGTCCCAAATTCTAAGCCCTCCCAAAGCCCTAAACCCTGGCCGTCGAAATCGCCATATTCCAACGAATGGCACTCGAAATCGCCAAAATCCAACGAAGGCCCGGTCGACCGGCGCTTCGTTGGAAATTGACAAATCTCAGTTCCCTAGCGGAATCGCCAACTTCCAACGAAGAAATCTCCAAACTCCCACGAAGGGCCGGCTTCGTGGGAAGGCGAGGAGCCGCTAAACCCTAAACCCTAAACTAAACCCTAAACCCTAAACCCTAAACCCTAAACCCTAAACCCTAAAACCCTAAACCCTAAGAGAAATTGCCAGATTCCCACGAAGCCGGCCCTTCTTGATGGGAAAAGTGGCGATGTCTTTGGCGACTGGAAATCGCCAACTTCCGGCTTCGTGGGAATATGGCCATTTCTTTGGTGAAAAAGCACAAAAATCGACATTTTCTCACAAATCAATTGAGGTCAAATTTATATATGAGAAAGAGTGTGTAGGGATGGAACCTGGGCCCGAAACCCTAAACCCTAAACCTCAAACCCTAAAGCCTAAACCCTAAGAATGGGCGAGCCGCTCCATTTCAAAGACGAAAGCCGGGGAAGCTGCCTCGTCTCACTGCAGATATGGGCACTTCTCTGTATTGGGGTCCCTTTTGGGATTCCTTAAAGGGATCTATAAGGGTTTCTATAGGGTTTCTGTAAGGGTACTGTGAGGGTTGGGTTCTATATAGGTACTCTAAATTAGGGTGCCTTTTAGGGTCCTTGTTATTACGGTGCCGTGCTATCTTGGGGACCTAAAAAAGGCACGCTAATTTAGAGAACTACCCATATGCGTTCCACTTACAGTATGGGTTCACTGCCAGGTTTGTTTCTGATTTACGATATCGAAGCAGAGTTCTTCCTGTGTGCTTTCTGTTAGATTTCCTGCTTTGGGAGGGTCTGTCTCAATATGGGCTCGGTACAACAGTCTTCTTTGTGATCGATCTTTTGATTTAGGTTTTTCGTGCCACAAAGGCTTGTGTAGACGGTTCCAGGATCAGAGCCTAATTTAGCTTCTAAGTCAAGCTCTTTTCAAGGTGTGTGTGATGTAGTGGAGTTTTTGTAGACTTCATATTATAGATATCGCAGTCAGAACAATACAACCATTGACCATAATGAAGATAAAGATTGCTATTGATGTTATGCTTAGGGTTTCGGGTTCAGGGTTT